AAAATATTTATGTCTTTAAATGTCCACTTTAAATATGCCAATTATATTTCAATAAAAATATTTTAAAGTTTATGGTGTATAGATACATATATATCATATATATATAATCTTTTATGATTCCCTGCTGTAATTTTTTTATTCACCAACCAACTACAGGTTCCAATAGTGTCAAATGAGAGGGCTTCTACTCAGCTTAGCCCCCAACACTCACTATCTTCACTAGCCCCAGAAAATGTCATCTATGCTCGTTGAAGGATGTCTGCTTTTCTCTGTCTAGAGAATTCTAGTGAGTATCTAGAGGTAATGAAATCTATACTGAATAAAACTAAATTAGCATTCCTTCCACTTCGTATCCATTTTCATAAGGCAAGAGCTGTTTTATTGTAAATTCACTTATATAATGAGAATCCTCTGGACATTGCTTAGTAGGGTTCTATTTGCAATTTATTCTGAACTTTATCCATTAATTACAAGCACAATGCATAACAATCATTACTACTAATCATCAAAATAAACAGATGAAGCACTCAAATGTATAAACCTTTTATTTAAAATTAGAGACTCAAATACAAATTAAATAAGTACAATATAAAATAGTAAGCCTTCATAAAACAGATCATAACCACTTTATTTATTTATTTATTTTTATTTTTTTTTTGAGACGGAGTCTCGCTCTGTCGCCCAGGCTGGAGTGCAGTGGCGCGATCTCGGCTCACTGCAAGCTCCGCCTCCCGGGTTCCCGCCATTCTCCTGCCTCAGCCTCCCGAGTAGCTGGGACTACAGGCGCCGCCACCACGCCCGGCTAATTTTTTTTTTTGTATTTTTTAGTGGAGACGGGGTTTCATTGTGTTAGCCAGGATGGTCTCGATCTCCTGACCTCGTGATCCGCCCGTCTCGGCCTCCCAAAGTGCTGGGATTACAGGCTTGAGCCACCGCGCCCGGCCCATAACCACTTTAAATCATTTACTATTTCTACAACAAAATTAAAGAGAAACCTAAATACAGTCCAAAATCAAATTATTTTTAAACTCTTATTGTCAACATTAAAATTATTACAAAACATTCAAAGAGATTTAATTAGAAGATGAACAAGGCCAGGTGCAGTGGCTCACGCCTGTAATCCCAGCACTTTGGGAGGCCAAGGTGGGTGGATCACGAGGTCAAGAGATTGAGACCATCCTGGCCAACATGCTGAAACCCCAACTCTACTAAAAATATAAAAATTAGCTGGGCATGGTGGCGTGTGCCTGTAGTCTTAGCTACTCGGGAGGATGAGGCAGGAGAATCACTTCAACCAGGAAGTGGAGATTGCAGTGAGCCGAGATCACGCCACTGCACTCCAGCCTGGTGACAGAGCAAGACTCTGTCTCAAAAAAAAAAAAAAAAAAAAAGGAAATGAACAAAACTACTACAGAGTGATTCCTGCTATCCACTAAAATAAATAAGAATTAAAATTCAATGTGATTTCCATTCATCCACAGATAAAAAGCACCTCATTTTAAGAAGACAATTATCTATTTCTTTCCAAGGTTGTGAGGACTGCTTTGTTTATTTGACTTTTAATTTTAATATGGCACAACAAGCTTGATCAGTAAAAGCAATATTATTAAAAATGTTTAAAATGTTCCTTACAGACCCTTTCCGCTTCACTTCATGAATGAGGGTATCATATATGTAACATTTAAAACATTACGATGCAATAAATATCTTTTAAAGGTATGTGGCAAAATAAAAATACACTCTGGTTCGAGCTGGTGTTCGGAAAAAATAAAAATATACATTAAACAATGAAGCCTCGGCCGGGCACAGTGGCTCACACCTGTCATCTCAGCACTTTGGGAGGCGGAAGCAGGCGGATCACTTGACATCAGGAGTTCAAGACCAGCCTGGCCAACCTGGTGAAACCCCATCTCTACTAAAAATACAAAAAAATTAGCCGAGCCTTATGGTTGCACACCTGTAATCCCAGCTATGCAGGAAGCTCAGGCAGGAGAATCACTTGTACCCAGGAAGTGGAGGTTGCAGTAAGCCGAGACCAGTCTGGGTGACAAGAGTGAAACTGCCTCAAAAACAAACAAACAAACAACAACAACAACAAAAACAATGAAGTCTCTTCTTTCCTTTATGATGGGGAAATGATCTTATGCATTCTATTTTTCCTTTTTACTGTCTTAATTCTTGAGAAAAAACGTTTTATATTTTTATTATCAATGTTATAAATCTAATTCTAAGACTTTGCACAAAAAAAAATACCAAGGGAGATAGTATAGTATCTTAAGCTTGTATTTTCCTGAAATTATTGGTAAAAAGTAGAACTAGACTTAAGTAGATAACAGGAAAACACAGTATTATGGTGTTTGTATACAAAAAATAATCCAAATAAAAACACATGCTCAAGATGGCACCCACATTATTCCAGAATAAAGTTATTTACATATATACAATCATATGACTAAATAAATGAACATTTTCCTAAAACATGCATATTGTGAAGTCTTTTATAATTAAACTTTTAAAATCAAACTAAATTGCATATTATCAACTGTCATGATTAGAGCTTTCTGCACACCAGGAGAGTTGAAATTTTAACATCTGTTGTTCTACAAAACGGAAGATAAAATGTCATCAAACTCAGCATTTCTCTAGAAAATTTTATATCCCTCAGCAACCTGTCATACTGCCTGTCATCAAATAAATGGACTCTAAAATGTAATTATTCTTTTCAGAAAAAAATTTTTTTTGTAGAGAGGTGGGTCTTGCTATGTTGTCCAGGCTGGTCTTGAACTCCTGGTCTCAAGTGATCCTTCAGCCTCGGCCTCCCAAAGCGCTGGGATTACAGTCGTCAACCACCACACCCAGTCTCTTTTCTAAAACATTAATTTCCACTATTGCTCTTTTGAAATCATTTTAATCAAGTCACGTTTCTTGAAGAAAATTCACTCAGGGTTCTGAAGGAATTAGTTATTTTCTACAAGCAACTCTGTCATGAGTGACAGAGTTGTAGCTCTCTTAGAAGTTTTTTTCCCTCTTTCAAAGAGAATGAGAAATATGCAGAGATTTCCGTACTGACTCACTAAATGTAAAGATTAAGAGGACATAATAAAAGTTTGGACTACAGTAGCATATAGGTTTTCAGTTCATTTGCTACTAACTAGCTATAACTTAGACAAGTCATTTAACATGCTGTGCTTTAGTTTCATCTTTGAAACAAAGAGATTCAAACAGAAATTCTTAAGCTTCCTTCCAACTCTTACACAGTATGATTCTGTGCTTCTGCAGGAATTCTTAATTGATAAACTGAGTCTTCCATAAATCAAGAGAACTGATGTGTACTAAAATAGCACAGCTGAACTAAACCTCTCCTTGTTAGGAAAAAAACACAAAGACCATGTTCAAAGCTCAACTTTCCAAACCTTACTAGACCCAGTCCCTCTTCAGCCAGACCAAAGAATAGCCCATAGGGTTAAAACCAAATATCTTAATTATATAAATTACTTTTAAAGTATAACGTAAACCCATTAAAATATATTAAGTCTATGCCAGTTTTCCTACATTCTAATTTACAATATTTTCATTTTATCTACATTCAAGATAATATGTACAGTTAAGGAAGGGGCTATTTAATATTCTTGCACTTCTAAACACTAGTAAAAGTTAAATAAGACACAGACGAAAAACAGAATATTGATAATTATCATATTCTGCCAAATTGTTAATGAAAGTATGCTGAGTACTCTTTATGGGCTAGAGAAACAAGGCAAAGGTAAAAAATGAAATCCTGCTAACAAGTGCTGATGATCAAATGAATTTAGTTATGTTACGCCATTACTTAAAAGAAGACAGGAGGGAGAGGATTTTAGTAGAAACCTATTTAGGTAATACTGAATCATGACATTCCAGCAGCTTTTATGAAAAACTAATGTATAAAGTAGTATTTTGGTACTAGTGCAGTGCAGATTGGTTTTTCTTTGTATAACTATGGACAGCAAGTGAGGCACTTAACTGTAAAATAGAAAAATAGGGTATATTTTAAAAGACATTCAAAATCATTCTGAAAAGATAATTAGCACTGTTGAAAAAAAGTTAGAAATTCCATTTTTATTTAACATGCATTCAATGTTACACGTTTCACTAAGGAAAATCCTTCTGAAGGTAAGATTATTGTTTTATTTATAAGAAACAGAAAATATTTCCTTTTCAAGGGATTCTGGATTTCTAAGAATAAAATCCAAGTCGTCTCAACCTGAGTGCTACGCATTTATAAACTGAGAAAAATACATCTTACCATACAGGAAAAATGTTATGACTGTCAACAAATACCATGAGCTGGGAGCAGTGGCTCCTGCTTATAATCCCAGATACTCAGGAGGCTGAAGTGGGAGGATCACTTGGGCCAGGAGTTCGAGGTTATAGTGAACTATGATCATGGCACTGCACCAACAGAGCCAGACTCCATCTCTTTAAAAAACAACAACAACAAATGCCACGTACCATGTAATCCTCAACTTTATCCTTGAAGGATCAGATGCTTTTATTTTATATAACTTCAAAGAAGGGCACCTAACGACTACAACAGAATAATTAATAGATATTTAGCACCTAAATTTAGAGAACACTTAAGTATTGCCATAGTTTTAAATAGCTGTATATCTGTACGTTGAGGGAAACCAAATACATATTGTTCAATGATATTATCCTTAATTACAAATGCATCGGCCGGGCGCGGTGGCTCAAGCCTGTAATCCCAGCACTTTGGGAGGCCGAGACGGGTGGATCACGAGGTCAGGAGATCGAGACCATCCTGAAAAACACGGTGAAACCCCGTCTCTACCAAAAAAGACAAAAAACTAGCCGGGTGAGGTGGCGTGCGCCTGTAGTCCCAGCTACCCGGGAGGCTGAGGCAGGAGAATGGCGGGAACCCCGGAGGCGGAGCTTGCAGTGAGCTGAGATCCGGCCACTGCACTCCAGCCTGGGCGACAGAGCGAGACTCCGCCTCAAAAAAAAAAAAAAAAAAAAAAAAAAATGCATCTACCTACAATATTCAAACACAAATCTTATTTCTCCCTTATTGCAGACATATATATCCCTTTTAACAAGTAAAGGGAGGTTTATTATTTCTTCACCATCATTAAATTGTCTTCCAAATGTGGCACTTTTTCAGGTTAGACAAAAAGCAGATCCTAAAAAGTCATTCATATTCGACCATTAGTATTACTTTAAATGTTCTTCTCTATGGGACAGAGGTCAAAATTGAAGTGAATGGCCGTAGACCTTCTGTTGAAATACATAATATAAGCAGGAACAGAGGAGATGAACATACATTAATTTCTGACAACATATTGGCACATAAATGCTTATCTATAGGGTGAAAAAGCACTTAACGAAAGGATAAATATTTGCCATGACAGTATTTCGAGTGGAGACCAGTGTTTCCTTTCTTCATATCTAAGTGAAATATTCTTATGTTGTATAAGTAAACTTGACTTTAATTCTGGATAGAACACTTTACTTCATATGTTAAAACTGATGCATGACATTAACTGAAGTTTTCCACGAGACAATTTAATCATTCCCATTGAGAAATCTTATAATCCTACCTTTTCTTAATTTACTTATAGAAAGGCTTTCCTTGACTCCAAAAGGAGGGGAAAAGGCTTTAAAAAAACATTTTACACCAGGGAGACTGGCAAATTTCAATAGTTCACAATCCTCATATTTCTCATTTATATTTGCTTTATCAAATTTCATTCCCTACTATATAATTAATTTTCTCAGACACAGAAGAGCCAAAATTCTCTTATTTATATATTTAAGGTATTTTTTTTCTATTTTCTTTAATATATGCTAGCTTATTTTTGAAAGTAAATGAGTACATGAAAGAAACAGGAACATTGTTGATGTAATTCAGTTAAGAAATAAAGTGCATATAGCTGTCAATATAAATAGTTTGGTACCTTACAGCTAAGTAAAAAGCTAACAAAATCAAAATGAAAACTCAGCTCAATATCTAGAATCTGAAAAATATGAGACATGAATACAAATCCTATATAAATAGTAACAAAATTAGGGGTAGGGAGTACTCCCCTCCAAAAAAAAAAAAAGGCAACTGAAAGTATTTTTAAGAAAAGTTAAGTGGGTATCTGCTTCCCAAAAGACCACAACATGCTACACAGTAACACCAACATGCAATAGCTGAAACGCAGAATCACATTCTGGCTGCTGCCCTTGAACTTCTGCATTTAATTTAGAATTCTCTTGTGTCTGGCTAATTTCACCTTGCAAAGGAGGAGATATGCCATGACTCTCATCTACAGAAGCACCGTCAGACAAGGTATCTAACTGTACTGGGAAACAAGCAATGTGAAGTTTACTATCTCTTGTCTCTCTATCAAAACTGGTCCTCTCATCAGCATCTTCCAGCTGTTGAACTGAAGTTAAATACTGTTCAAGCAGACTATTGTCCTGCTCATTATTTGAGCTTTCCTTATTCCATTCACCATGTTCCTCACTAACATCCCCTAAATCTGATTCTTTGCCATATCTCACTGTGTCAATGGAATTCCCCATTATGGAGCTTTCACTGCCTTCTGTGGAACTTTTCTCAAAATCCAACGAATCCTGCAAAGAATGAACTTGTTCTGTTAGAGAGGAATGAAAACCAGAGTCTGGAAAATCTGGTAATGATTTATCTTGAGGAGCTACATCAGAAGCAATGAACCAATCAGCATTTTGATCAGAAGAGGACTCCTGGCTTTGGGTAAATAATGGAGGTTTCGATGACACAAGAGTACTTGATATAGGAGGAACATCAGTATGCCAGGAACTTAGACGCTGGTCCACTGTCTGTTGCCAAACCTGTAGAGACCTTACCTATAAACCAGAGAATACAGTTGTATTATAAAATAAAAAGTGTCTTTTTTGTTTGTTTTTGAGACAGAGTCTCGCTCTGTCACCCAGGCTGGAGTGCAGTGGCACAATCACAGCTCACTGCAGCATCAACCTCCTGGGCTCAAGTGATCCTCCCACCCCACCTCTGCCTCCTAAGCAGCTAGGACTCCAGGTGCCCACCACCATGTCTGGCTATTTGTTTTCCTTTTTTTTTTTTTTTTTTGAGATGGAGTTTCGCTCTTGTTACCCAGGCTGGAGTGCAATGGCGCAATATCGGCTCACTGCAACCTCCGCCTCTCAGGTTCGAGCAATTCTCCTGCCTCAGCTTCCCAAGTAGCTGGGATTACAGGCGCCCACCACCACACGTGGCTAATTTTCTATTTTTAGTAGAGACAGGGTTTCCCCATGTTGGTCAGGCTGGTCTCCAACTCCTGACCTCAGGTGGTCCACCCACCTCAGCTTCCCAGAGTGCTGGGATTATAGGCGTGAGCCACTGTGTCCATTCATCTGGCTAATTTAAAAAAATCTTTTTGTAGAGATGGGGTCTCACTTTGTTGCCCAGGATAGTCTTGAACTCCTGGGCTCAAGCAATCCTCCTGCCTTGGCCTCCCAAGTGCTGGGATTACGGGCACAAGCCACTGCACCCCACCTGTCTATTTTACAATTTTCCTTTGAGCTCTTTTCTCCAGCAGTCATGAAATTGGCAAATGGTAGAATTGGAGCCAGAAACTGCTGACTCCCTTTATCTTTTCCATAGCATCCCAAGTCTAAAACTAGACTGGCACAAATGGTACATATCCCTGGTAACAAAAGGCCTTCACCAGGAGTGGGGATGGGCCAAAGCAATTCCCTTGCTTCTATTAGAAAAACAGCCAGAAGCACAACAGTACATGTCTAGCTGACTAAGGGGTCAATAATGCACAACAGTACATGTCTAGCTGACTAAGGGGTCAATAATGTATTCAAGATATAATGAGATCTATTCAATAAGACAAGTTAGAGCCCTTGATATAAGTAGATCCCTGTAAAATAAGTCTCATTTTAGATACCCAGGTAGAGATTAGAGTTTTTAAGTATTATCTAACAATACAGTATATGCAACTTTCTAAAATACCTAAAAATATACCAAATTATTGATAATATGACCTCTACATTTCTAAAGTATAACAAAAATTCCAAAATTTTACTGTAAAAACTGCAAACAGGAAAGCAAAATGTACAGTTTTTAGTTTCCCTTTGATCCCCCTCCAAGGTAATTACTGACAGCAACTTGATGCATATCCTTCCATACTTTTTTCTAGGTAGTATTTTCAAATACACAGGGAAGCTGAGCACACTGGTCTGTGCCTGTAGTCCCAGCTGCTTGGGAGGCTGCAGCAGAAGGATCACTTGGGGAGTTCAAGGCTGTAATGCGCTAGTGCTGTTTTTTTTACTAAACAGTATTATTTTGGAGATCTTTCCATGTCGGTCAATACTATTACCTTATTCTTTTTAACTGTTCCATGGTATTCCACAGTATTATTACTCTATAATTTAACCATTCCTCTATTTTTGGTAACTACAAAACCTTACAAATCAATAATTATGTTTTCATTTTATAGGTCAAATCCTATTATAACAAATTTGGCCAGGTGATGTGGCTCACTTTAGGAGGCTGAGGAGGAACATTGCTTGAGCCCAGAAGTTTGAGACCAGCCTGGGCAATATAGCAAGACCCAATTTCTATAAAAGAGAAGAAATGAAAATTGTATTAAAATATTTTCAAGAAATTATCATCAAGAAGTATTTGATGTGATACAATGCTAGTAAAACCAACTGCCTAAATTATCCCTAAAATATGCTATTATAGGATTCAAATACTCTCCTATACAGTTATGTATACTTTTTAGGACGTGCATATTGTAGCCATATACCATCTTAATCATCATTCATTCAAATATTCCCAAAAGACAGATCAACAGCTACATGAAACTTCAAATTGGGGATGTTGTATCTACTGGAAAGCTCTAACAGCCTTCAATTAAGCCACTTTCCTCCTGCTTTATACTATTTTATTTTTCTTGTCAAAACTGTCAGAATATTTTTCTTCAGATTAAATAAAATGCAACAAAATTCACTGTCCTAGTTCAGAGTTAGTGGCAAAGAACACAAGCCATACCCTTAACCTTGAACAAGAGTGCTTAATACACCTGAGTACTCTACGATTATCTCAATGAATATACAATTTTTATTTGATCACATATGAGGTAAGTCAGGAGGGAGTTTACCTGGTTCCAAAGGAATCTGAAAGCTTCTTCTTGTACAAATTTTTTAATACGTTCTTCATCTCTTTCTTTTCGTAATCTACAATAATTCAAAACACATTATTGACATAAGGAAGGGTGCTTTGACTCATACTTCCTGTTACAACTAACAAACACACGCATTGCAAAGAGATTAATAATCTAATAGTTGTCTTTCCCACTTTCAGAATATCTAAATTAAAACCTTATGTTATTTTTATTTTTTTAAACTCAGAATCAAAATGTAACAGTTTTATAAGTGACATTATAAACTTTAATTTTGAACTGTGACTCAAAGTAGAAGCCAAATTAGATATGACTGAAATACACGTATTAGTTCTACAAAGTATTTCCAGTAATAAAATGTTAAATGGCTCTTTGTCTGGCTTCAGTTTCTCAGCCAAACAAACCGAAGCAACAGAGAGTGCAAAAAAGGAGTGGCTATCCAAAGCCTCCAAAACAATTAAGGGTCACACTTAAGTATTCATGATCGCAGCTTGAAACACCCTCTCCTAAAGACTAATCCCATCAAACTTCACTATTCTGTTTGCCCAAGTCTCTGACCTACTCCCTGCTAATAAGAGACCTCCCATCCATTATTCCTCATTCATTAAAGTCTTAGCTCTGGGCTCACTGCTGTTGTCTCCATACTCAGGCCTATCACCAACCTGAGACTCCTCCTTTAGTGATCCATTATCACCCAAACTGTCAACACCATTTTGTTCCACACCTCTGACCCAATTCTCCACTTTCTCTAGCCCCCCAAGCCTTTCTCCTGTGCCATCTAGGACTCCTGAATTATAATCAGCAAAATCCCTTATATACTGCATCTCTCTCTGAACTTTTCCTTGTCCAAAGCAGACCCACTTCTGAGAGCACTATAGCCCTCTGAAGTAGAAGCTATTTTTCCCTCTCACACATCAGGGTTGAAAGATTGCTTCTGACTGTTGTTTCCAAATGATTCTTCATCTCCCTCCTTTAACTCCTGCCATCCTGCTAAATTTCCCAAAATTATTTGTCAAGTACTGACCTCCCACCATCTGCTCCCGTTCACTGAAGTCTCAGCACCAGGCTTTCTCTTTGCCCCATACCTGTCATAATTTTTGGAGAACTCAACATTCACATGGATGCTCTAACAATAATGTTAGTCACCCATTCTCATAGTCTCACCCTAGACCAAATCATTTTGACTACACCACTTTCAGAAATGGTTCTAAGCACCCAACACCAACCACTACTTCCTATCTTCCCAGTCACTTGCTATTGTACCCTACTGCAACAATCCTCCAGTCCAATGATCCTTCCCTCCTGCCTTCAGTTCCCTTTTACCTCATTTAAAATTCCAGCCAGGCTGGGCACAGTGGCTCACGCCTGTAATCCCAGCACTTTGGGAGGCCAAGGCACGCAGATCACCTGAGGTCAGGAATTTGAGACCAGCCTGGCCTACATAGTGAAACCCTATCTGTACTGAAAATGAAAAAAAAAAAAAAAAATTAGCTGGGCATGTGGTGGGTTCCTGTAATCCCACCTACTCGGGAGGCTGAGGCAGGAGGATTACTTGAACCCGGGAGGCAGAGGTTGCAATGAGCCGAGATCGCGCCATTGCACTCCAGCCTAGGTGACAAGAGCGAGACTCCATCTTAAAAAAAAAAAAAAAAAAAATTCCAGCCAGCAAGGTGACTCACACCTGTAATCCCAGAACTTTAGGAGGCTGAGGCAGGAGGATTGCTTGAGGCCAGGAGTTCAAGACCAGCCTGGGCAACACAGACTTCATTTCTTTAAAAAAAAACATTTTTAATTAGCTGGGCATGGTGGTGCACGCCTATAGTCCCAGCTACTTGGGAGCCTGAAGTGGGAGAATCACTTGAACCCAGGAGTTCAAGGTTATAGTGAGCTATGATCATGCCTCTACACTCCAGCCTCAGCGACAGGGCAAGACCCTGTCTCAAAAAAATATAAAATCTAAGATCTACCGTTATTACTCCCTCTCAAATATCTTCAGCTCTCTTGCCCTTCCCCCGCTCTCTCTACAATATCACCTAGGAAAAAAATCATTCCTGGCTGAACCAAATTAACCACACCTGAATCAGAACAGAACAGCTAAGAATTGCCGATGAAAATCATACATCCTGACCTATTATTTTACACTTTTAAGCATTTTCTCACATCGTCCAGCAACCCTCCTCCATTTTCCTCATAAGGTCATCCTTAAGATGACTACCTCACACCTCATACTTCTTTCCTTACACCTCCTTCACCCCCTCCTCATTTTCAGGCGCTGACCACATCTTATACATTATTGAAAAAGCAGCAGCAGCAGACAGGACTTTTTCCCATCTCCCACCATCAAACCTACCACCTTACCTGCTCCTGCTCCCATCTGAGGCCACTTCCTCTACTTCAACACTGCATTTCTTCCTCTCTTACCTTCTCAAGAACTGCAATCCTGGCCGGGTGTGGTGGCTCATGCCTGTAATCCCAGCAGTTTGGGAGGCCGAGGCGGGTGGATCACAAGGTCAGGAGATCAAAACCATCCTGGCTAACACAGTGAAACCCCATCTCTACTAAAAATACACAAAATTAGCTGGGCGTGGTGGCAGGCGCCTGTAGTCCCAGCTACTCTGAAGGCTGAGGCAGGAGAATGGCCTGAACCTGGGAGGCGGAGCTTGCAGTGAGCCGAAATGGCGCCACTGCACTTCAGCCTAGGCAACAGAGCAGACTCTGTCTCAAAAAAAAAAAAAAAGAACTGCAATCCTGCTCTTCCTCTTTTTTTTTTTCTGCACCATCAGTTTTTCCCTCCTTATTTATTCATTCCATCAACACATGAACACACTCTGTATCTCTCATCTCCAAAAGAGAATGTTCCTTTAATCTAGATTTCTCCTCCAGATACCACTTAACTCTCTTTTTTCATGTTTTCCTCAAAACAACTCTTTCCAAGAACTGGCTACACTCATCCTTCAAACTCTTTACCTCTTATTCACTATTCAACCCATTCCAAAATGGCCTTCATCCCCCTACACCACTGAAGCTGCTCTTGGGAAGGTCATTGTGCAGTAAAGAGTTAACTCAGCAGGACTGGGATGTTCAAACACTGTACATTGCAAAGATAAGAAGACTGGTCCTTGACTGACTCCTGGGAGATGATCTCCAAGCCCTTGGAATATCCTGACTGAAATAGAGTATCTTTATACACCTGGGGTCTTGGTCCACATTAGGTAGTTTAGGCAATCAATGATTTCTAGTCAACATCTGTTGTGTTCACCTGGGGTCCTGAGCCACGGAGTTATCAGTGTGACCTCTAAGTGGCCTGAGGTCTAAATAGTTAAGATCAGTTACATGGGTACTCATTACCTATGTGATTGGCCCACAATAAAAACCCTGGACATCAAAGATGAGGTAACTTTTGCCAGTTGGCAATACTTCATATGTGTTATCATACATCATTGCTGAGAGAATTAAGCCCTGTCTGTACAACACTGGGAGAGAACAACTGGAAGCTTGCACCTCATCTCTCCTGGACTCTGCCCTAGGCACCTTTTTTCTTTACTGGTTCTAATCTGTATCCTTTTGCTGTAACAAACTATAATGACAAACAGAATAATATTTTCCCAAGTTCTGTGAGTCCTTTTAGCAAATCACCCAACCTGAGGATTGTCTGGAGAATCACCAATACAGTCACCAATAGTCTCCAACTGCCAAGTCTAATGCCTGTGTCCTCTCTATGGCACCTCCGATCTCTCCTGAAACAGTTTCTCCTGTTGAAGGTGGAACTCTCCTAGTTTTCCTACCACTCTGGCTGCCCTTTCTCAGTATCCTTTGCTGCCTCTTCCTCTTCTACCTGATAATACCAATAAATATTACTAGTCGCAATATTAATGAAATCCTAACTTTCCTGGGTTAGCAGTCAGTAAAACATATGAGCCATGGGATTAAGGAATAATCCTATTGTAGTCCTATAGAATTTTAGCCCCTTCTGAATCCCTGCTATTAATTTTTATGTCATGTACTGAATTCCATGTAGACTTCATCATTTTCTCATTTTTATACTTAGTTTTTCAATGTTTTCTGTACCTTTCTATGTTTAGAATTACAGATCCCTATAAAGCTCACGTTCATTGAACATTTACCACTACACTGCATCTATGGATCAAGTCCTCTGCTGGGGATGGAGATGCAGCAGACAGAACAGATGGTCTCTGCTCTCCAGATGCTTTCAGTACACTGTAGGAGACAACCAAACCAACAGTGGCTACATGGTATGAAAAGTGTTATAATCACAGACGCACAGTGTTCTGAATCAACTGTAAGAATCTAACACCCTCAAACCAGCAAAACAGTACATCGAAAGGACTTCTGACCCACCTCCTTATTTCATCAGTTAAGCAGACAATGTGCTCTTGCATTCTGCGTAGCCGGATTTCGTAACGCACATCTTTGGCTTGAGGGTTGTAGTTCCTGGCATAAAATCCCCGCCAACAGGCCTGAAGCTTGGTGGCTGCATCATTTAATTTCTGAAGGGCAACTTTGTCTTGTCCCAAAACAACAGATCTCTGGGTTAAAATCATGGGAACTTTCTCTGAAGTTGCTTGAGATATGGTTTCTTTATTTTCTGGTTGTGTATTTTCTGGTTTCTTTATGTCTGGTTGTTTCTGTCCAGCTGACTCAGGAAAAAATGTAAGACTGTGGTTATCATCCTTCAAGATAGCGCTGATTATTGTTGGCTCAGAACAAGGTAATAGTCCAGCTTTCTCATTTACCTCTGTATTGATTTCACTTCTCATCATTGGAACAGAATTCTCATTTGCAGCCCATAAAGGCTTTTCCTCTTCCTTATCCAACACCTGGCTTTCCAGCCCTTTCACAGATTCATCTGCAACACCATCATCTTCTAGGCCCAAGTTAATGCCCTGCAGTCTCAGCTCAACTGTAGGCGATAGTGGCGATAGTCCTGATGCAACTGGCATAAAAGTAGACTCTGAAGAGAGAAGACTACAGTTTAACTTGTCCTCATCTGTCTGTATGTCTTCCAGGTGCAGATCATTTCGAGAATATCTTGTAGTATGTACAGAGGCTGGAAAATTATTCTTAACCGCAAATAACTGATCATCATTACTGCTTATCCCAACCCAAGAATTGACTTGAATGACGGGTTCTAGAAGAATCAACAGAGTATCATTTAAACCACTAAATATTTACATTTTAGTTATGTCCCTTTAATGAAATCTATTCCTTGAAATAGAGTAAAATGCGAAAAAATCCCCAGTGATTTCTTCCAATATGCCTAAAACATCAAACCAAACATTTTTAAGAAAATGAATTCTTGTGATAATTAGAATATTCATCAAAGCATCAGGTCTATACAAAAGGTAGCAGTCCTTGAAATGTTTCTTAAAATTAGAAATATAGCAGCTATAATATACATACATATATAGGTGTGTATATACATAGATATGTATAAGATCTAAATGATTACTGAAGTTAGCAAACTAACAAAAAATTATGAAAATATGCACCTTTTTCTGCTTTATGATGCCAGGAAAATTAAACAACTTGGAGAAAAGGGATCAGAGATAAATTAATTTCTTACCACTTTCCTGGGATATCTGGCAATCTTGAACAGGGCTTGAATGCTCAGGAATAAGGGATGCCCTTGTTTCAACAGGAACAAGAGGAGACAACTCTTCATTTTGGCTTTGGTTCATCAACTGCCTCTGGTGAAACCTAAAAATCAATAACATCTGTTCTGATTTAACACAAACCAAAAAAAGAAAGATTTTCTGCTTCCTAAGTAACAATGTCAAAAAGGCAGAAGTTTACAAGTTCTCAAAGTAGGTACTTTTAATTACTGCCAAATTATAAATCCTCATTTGAAAGCACTGCATAGAGAAGGTTAAGAAACTTATTTTGTAATTGCAAAGACAGATACCCTCCTATGCACACATATACACATACAAAAACATTTAAATGCAGGATCTCTGATAAAGAAAGTAAATATTAAATGCTTCTGGCCGGGCGCGGTGGCTCAAGCCTGTAATCCCAGCACTTTGGGAGGCCGAGACGGGTGGATCACGAGGTCAGGAGATCGAGACCATCCTGGCTAACATGATGAAACTCCGTCTCTACTAAAAAATACAAAAAACTAGCCGGGCGAGGTGGCGGGCGCCTGTAGTCCCAGCTACTCGGGAGGCTGAGGCAGGAGAATGGCATAAACCCGGGAGGCGGAGCTTGCAGTGAGCTGAGATCCGGCCACTGCACTCCAGCCTGGGCGACAGAGTGAGACTCCGTCTCAAAAAAAAAAAAAAAAAAAGCTTCTGGCAATACTTTTTCTCTTTTTTTCACTGTACCTTTGAAGGCAGATACACCTCTTAAGTATCCAAAAACCCACAAGAAACACCTACATTAAGGAACAAGTAGGTCGGGCATGGTGGTGCGCACCTGTAATCTCAGCACTTTGGGAGGCCAAGGCAGGTGAATCACTGGAGCTCAGGAGTTCAAGATCAGCCTGGGCAACATGATGAAACCCCATCTCTACAAAAAATATAAAAAATGAGCCAGGGCATGGTAGTGCATGCCTATAGTCCCAGCTACTTGGGGGTCTGAAGAGGGAGGATCAATTGAGCCCAGGAGACTGAGGATGCAGGGAGCTGAGACTGAGGATGCAAGGAGCTGGGACCACCACTGCACTCCAACCTGGGTGACAAAGTGAGCCCCTGCCTCAAAAAAAAAAAAAAAAAAAAAAGCGGGCGGGCGGGGCGGGCCAAGGGCAGACACAGTAGCTCATGACTGTAATCCCAGCACTTTGGGAGGCCAAGGCGGGCAGATCACCTGAGATTAGGAGTCCAAGACCAGCCTGGCTAACCTGGCGAAAAACCACCTCTACTAAAAATAAAAAATTAGCTAGGTGTGATGGCACATGCCTGTAATCCCAGCTATTAAGAAGGCTGAGACACAATAATTGTTTGAACCGGGAGGTGGAGGTTGCAGTGAGCCGAGATCACACCACAGCACTCCAGCCTGGGCAACAGAGCGACACTATGTCTTAAGAAAAAAAAAAAAAAGAACAAATATATTTTTTAAAAATCCCATCCCGTTTCCTGGTATAGTAGCTCATACCTGTAATCCTAGCACTTTAGGAAGGTGAAGCAGGAGAACTGCTTGAAGCCAAGAGTTTAAAATCAGCCTGAGGAACAAAGTGAGACCTTATCTCTACAAAAAATTAGCCAAGCACGGTTGCATGTACGTGTAGTTGCAGCTGCAGTGACCTATCTTTGCGCTGCTTTACTCACAGACCAAGAGACCAAGACTCTGTCTTTAAAACAAAAAACAAACATAAAAACCCTGTATTCCCCCCATGCCAGATTGTTTGGCTGTTTGCAGTGCACGATTCAGCTTCCCTACAGAAATTGCTGCAGTGACAAGGGGACTGAGTGTCCAGAAATGTGGACCACAGCACTTGCCTCAGGCTTACTATCACCATAGCAAAGACTCAGAGATATTTTAACTTGTGAATTCATCAGTTGTTAGAAATAAACGTGTTCACCTCTGTTTGCTCAGAATCTTCTCTAGTTTGGCATCCTCTGCAGTTTGAAGACCTAGTGTAGAAGTGAGGGGGCAGACTGTAGCCAGATATTGGACAAGCTGGATGTGCTGGCCAGGCCGATATGCTCTCCCTTTGCCTTGACTATAGAGCCATTCAGCTTTCAAGCTGGAATTGAGGAACATAAAGAAGAGGAGAGGGCACGAGAATAGTCAATATACATTGTCAGGCAACAATGATCTTCCTTCTTAACTTACCTTTATAACACCACTGGATGTTTTTCATAAATAAAATTCACTCGATTTTTTTTTAATCTACCATTCTGACTCATATTCCTCATTCTAACAATGTTTTAAACCCTTTTTCTTGCTTAGGGGCACTTCCATTGAGCTTGGACTAATGGTCCCAAATATTTTTAAATCATTTTCAAGGAAGCAATGAGTATTCTCTCCATTCACTCTGTCACACTGAAATGCCTAAATAGATGCACTGCATTTAAATCCATTAGTTCATAATGACAGTTAAAAGAAAAAAACAACTAGCCGGGCATGGTGGCATGTGTAATCTCAGCTACTCAGGAGGTTGGGGTGGGAGGATCACTTGAGGTCAGGTGTCTGAGGCTATAGTGCTCTATAATCATACCTGTCAACAGTCACTGCACTCTAGCCTGGGCAACGTAGCAAGACCCTCATCTCTAAAAAAAACCAAAAAGACAAAAAAACAAACAAAAGTGAACTGGTCACAGTTAGAGGATACTAGTGAACCACCAACTCTTTATTAATTCTATCTTTCCTACACAAACTATGCCAATGCGTAACCAGATAGTTACTTCATAGTATTCCAACTAATAAAAAAAAGAATGATAGAATGTCACCATTTTGCAACCCTTAATGAATTAGCAGATTTAGGCATTGATCATTAATAGCTACTAATAACACAAGAGAAAACTAACCCTGTATGCCTCCCAACAGAACCCACTAAGTAAAAACTCCAATCACTTTTGCACCAACCTTATAGTCCTCCCCTCAAAAAAAAAAAAAAAAAAAAAAAACCTGAATCGGAGCAAACATCCATATCCAATTTACAGAAAATACAGGAGAGAGGAACATGTCAAAGGACACACAGATATAGCTGGCAAAATGAGCAGATAATGGGAAACTCTATAGGACAAATACTCTGACTTCTTCAACTACAACCAAAAGAAAAAAAGAAAAGCAAGGGAGAGCGAGAGAAAAGAAAGCAAGGAAAATAAAAGAGAAGAGAGACAGATAGATTGAGAGATTCAAGAGAGTCATCTTGGACATCTAGCCAAGTTAAGCCTTCAGATGACTCTAGCCCCATCTGTGATCTGAGTGCAAGCCCAGGAGGCCCCAAGGAAGAACCACTCAGTCAGCACAGCCAGCCTACAGAGCATGCCATAATAATATATTGCTGCTTTAAGATGCTAAACAGAGAAGAAAGAAACTTAAGAAATATATCAACCAATTGTGACATAAGGCCTTATTTGAATTCTGTTTCTAAACTATGAAATTCATTTATAAGGACTGAAAATGTAAGCACTGAATATCTGATATTAGGGCACTTTGTTAAATTTTTTTTGATGTGATAATAGCATTGTGGTTGTTTCCTTAAGAGTTCTTCTCTTTTAGAGACATATACTGAAATACTAACAGGTGAAATGATATCTAATCTGAGATTGGCTTCAAAATAGTATAGAAGAGAGAGTGAGTGAAGGTATAAGATGAAGCAAGGGCCAGGTGTGGTGGCTTACACTTGTAATCCCAGCACTTTGTAGGGCCGGTGGAGGATTGCTTGAGCCCAGGAGTTTGAAGCCAGCCTGGACAACAAAGCAAGACTCTGTTTTCTTTAAAAAAAAAAAAAAAGTTCAGTTTATTTAATAAAAATAATTATAAGTATTCCTTCCATGGGTCGGGCGCGGTGGCTCACACCTATAATCCCAGCACTTCGGGAGGATGAGGTGGATGGATCACAAGGTCAAGAGACTGAGACCATCCTGACTAACACAGTGAAACCCCGTCTCTACTAAAAATACAAAAAAATTAGCTGGGTGTGGTTGCGGGCACCTGTAGTCCCAGTTACTCAGGAGGCTGAGGCAGGAGAATGGCGTGAACCCGGGAGGTGGAGCTTGCAGTGAGCCGAGATCGCGCCACTGCACTACAGCCTGGGTGACAGAGCGAGACTCCATCTCAAAAAAAAAAAAAAAAAATAAAAAAAGAGAAGCATTCCTTCCATGGAAACATCCCTGTGGACTAAATTAAAATCATTTAGAATCTTCGTGAAATCCGCTCTAAGTTTCCATACATTCTCCTGCCAAACAAATGGCTTGTTGAAAGGTTGTACAAAAATAGGTCCAGAGTAGAAGACAATCACCAACTTTAGTATTTCCCAGCAAGCAATATTTCTAAGTTATAGATAATCTGTACCGTGGGAAGACAGAAAAGCGAAACTAAGAGACTAGACTAAGGGCTCGAGCTTGAATATTCCAGTTTAAGTATTTGTGGGAAAAAAAACACAAACTGTAGATCATCAACTGCTATAAGATGTTTTTCCACTTTGCTTCACATGAGTTCATCAATAAAGATATCCCTACACAAATTATATTAAATCCTAGGAAAAAAACAAAATTAAAAAAAAAAACCTCCCTGTCAATTAAAATACCATTTTCAATTAAAAAACAAAAAACAAAATTAAGACTCATTCAGCTCTAATATATTAATCTTTTTTTTTGAGACAAGGTCTCTCTGCCACCCAGGCTGGAATGCAATGGCACTATCATGGTTCACTGCAGCCTCAAACTGTTGGGCTCACTCAATCCTCCCACCTCAGCCTCCCAAGTAGCTGAAACTACAGGTATGCACCACCATACCCAGCTAATTTTTTCATTTTTTATTTTTATTTTTTTAGAGATGGGACCTCACTATGTTGCCCAGTCTGGTCTTGAACTGCTGACTTCAAGTGATCCTCCTGCATTGACCTTCCCAGGCACTAAGATTACAGGCATAAGCCACCAATGCCTGGCCTCTAACATATTAATTTCAAGTCACTGGATGATGACTCCACTCTTGAAAGTGAAGGTACTGTTTACTTAAAACAAGAAGCAACAACTATTAAGAAAGGGAACTTAAAACAACCTGCTATGTGTCTTAAAAAAAAAAAAATGTAATCCCAGCTACTAGGGAGGCAGAGGCAGGAGAATTGCTTGAAGCAAGGAGGCAGAGGTTGCAGTGAGCCGAGACAGCACCACTGCACTCCAGCCTGGGCGACAAGAGCGAAACTCTGTCTCCAAAAAAAAAAGGAGTACTGAATAAAAGGATATCTGATATTTGCTTTAAAAATACTCCAACAAAAAACGTGGAATGAAACAAGACCGGTAAAATATTGACAATTGTTGAAGCTGCACGGTGGGTACACTGATGTTCATTATGTTATTCTAACTTCCTATGTATTTGAAATATCCCTTTTAAAAAAGAATATTGGCTAGGTGTAGTGGCTTGTATCTGTAATCCCTGCACTTTGGGAGGCTGAGGCAGGAGGATCCGATGAGCCCAGGAGTTCCAGACCTGACTGGGCAACATAGCAAGAACCCATCTCTACAAAAAAGTTTTAAAAATTAGGCTAATGTTTTTTTGATGGCAGCATCTGTATTCCCAGCTACTCGGGAGGCTGAAGCAGAAGAATAGTTTGAGCCTGGGAGGTTGAGGCTGCAGTAAGCTGTCATCTTGTCGCTGCACTCCAGCCTAGACAACAATGCGAGACCCTATCTCTAAAAATTAAGACGAAAAATATCTAGCACTAGGAATTTCAACTTAAATAATTTTAAAAAGGAATATTAACTTTCTCCAAGGTTTTGCTCCCATAAGATCTCCAACTAAGCAACAGAGTTATAGCTTTGTGCAAGGTCCTGTCAATAGTAAAACAGATCTAAACACATTCGGAAAGAACTCCAAACGCTGAGGTGCCACACGAAGATGCTCGTCTCTCCACAGGTGTGCTTAACTCTGAGAAACGGCTCAGCCAAAGCACCACAAGGTTTGGTTACTGCTCAAATTACTCTTTTGGGTGACACATACACTCAAATCAAGATCTCGCTACAGGACGTTATCAAAGAATCTAGGATACATTTCAAAATGGAGAACTTTAACCTGGGGGTTCTTAGCAAATAACATCCAAGATGGGCAGACTTTAAAAACTGAAAACTCCGGCCAGGCATGGTGGCTCATGCCTATAATCCCAGCACTCTGGGAGGTCGAGGCGGGCAGATCACATGAGGTTGGGAGTTCCAGACCAGCCTGACCAACATGGAGAAACCCCATCTCTACTAAAAATACAAAATTAGCCAGGTGTAGTGGCGCATGCCTGTAATCCCAGCTACTAGGGAGGCTGAGGCAGGAGAATCACTTGAACCCAGGAGGTGGAGGTTGTAGTGAGCCAAGATTGTGCCATTGCACTCCAGCCTGGGCAACAAGAGTGAAACTCCATCTCAAAAAAATAAATAGTCAATGGTAGCTTCATGGGGATAGCACTGAATCTATATATTACTTTGGGCAGTACAGCCATTTTCACAATATTGATTCTTCCTATCCATGAGCATGGAATGTTTTTCCATTTGTTTGTGTCCTCTCTTATTTCCTTGAGCACTGGTTTGTAGTTCTCCTTGAAGAAGTCCTTCACATCCCTTGTAAGTTGTATTCCTAGGTATTTTATTCTCTTTGTAGCAATTGTGAATGGAAGTTCACTCATGATTTGGCTCTCTGTTTGTCTATTATTGGTGTATGGGAATGCTTATGATATTTGCACATTGATTTTGTATCCTGAGACTTTGCTGAAGTTGCTTATCAGCTCAAGGAGATTTTGGGCTGGAACGATGGGGTTTTCCAAATATACAATCATGTCATCTGCAAACACAATTTGACTTCCTCTCTTCCTATCTGAATACCCTTTATTTGTTTCTCTTGCCTGATTGCCTTGGCCAAAACTTCCAATACTATGCTGAATCGAGTGGTAAGAGAGGGCATCCTTGTCTTGTGACAGTTTTCAAAGGGAATGTTTCCAGCTTTTGCCCATTCAGCATGATATTGGCTGTGGGTCTGTCATAAATAGCTCTTATTATTTTGAGATACGTTCAATCACTACCTAGTTTATTGAGA